CAACCAACAAACATTTTAGTGCCTACTTAGTGTCAGGTGCTATGTTAAGTGGGCAAGTCACTTGGATCCCAAGTGTGGCTGCTGACCTCAGAAGGACCAGTAGTCCCACAGACACACAAATAAGGAGTTACTGAGTGAGCGCTGAATGTCAAGGGCATGTGGAAAACAGCGGCCCAGTCCACCTAAGGGTGGGCTGCGAGGGTGGAAGCATTAGCAAAGAAACCAGGGAGATGAGGCATGAATGATGGGCAGGAAATGGTAAGAGATTTTGGGGAAGGCAGCAGAGACAGGGTTTGGGGAATGAAGTTGTTTAGGCTAACTCCCAGATTTCTAGCTTAGGCAACTGAATGGAGCTTAGAAAAACAAACTTATGAGGGCAGATGCCAAGTTTAGCTTTGCCGAATCCAAGACGACTATGGGACATGCAATAGGAGGGATCCAGGAAGAGCAAACGCTAAGTTCTCAGAGTATACTCTGGGCCATGCTTGGTTTCATTTAATCCCCATGTGACCCTATTAGTATGCCCCCCTCTTTACAGTTGAGGAAACTGAGGCACAGAGAAATTAAATCCCTTACCCAAGATCACATGGCTCTGAAAAGCCAGGCTCCCAGACCCCAGGCTGAGCTGACCCCTCTGCACTGGGACATGTGGTCCGTACACACAGAGCGGGCCCAGAGCAGGCACCTGAAGTCTCGAGGGGAGGCCGGTCACACAGGGAGCACACACAGTGAGCGAGGGCAGAGGCCAGGACCATGGCAACACCATCACATCAAAGCAGGAGCCAGCAAAGGATGTTAAAAATAAATCATTGGGGGCCAGGAAAAGAAATCAGCCCCGCTGGTTTCCCAGAAACAGTTCTCCCCCTCCCCAAAAAAAGTGGTCAGTGGAGTTAAGTACTTCAAGGGGAGCAAAGAGAAGGCCTAGAACAGGATCTTGAATTTAGCAGTTAAAAAGCATACTAGCTCTGTTTGTCTAAACCTCAAATTGAGGTTTAGCGTCAATTTGAGCTTCAAGACCTTTTCCCAATGGGTCCTCCCACCCATCTTCTCCTGCCTTCCTGGCTCTTCTGTCCACCTCTATGCCAGGTAAGTCAATCTTCCCAGAGTATCTTTTCCTGTCTGGTAGGGAGTTGGGGCTCATCTAAGGCCTTCTCAGACAGAGCACACTCAATACTCTCCCAGCCAGAAAGACTGCATCCCTCCTATTCACAGTCCATTTACATATTTCTTCAAAACTTATCCCAAATCTCGCAGGCTTTTAAAACTAGTAGTCCCCTCTCGTTTTAAATTTGTAGGTCTCTTCATAGTTTTTTTTAGTCCTCGCCTGAGGATATGTGTAATAATTTGAGAGAGAGAAACGCTGCTGTGACAGAGAAATGTCAATCGGCTGCCTCCCGCATCCTTCCTGACCAGGGATCGAACCCGCAACCTTTTGGCCTGTGGGATGATGCTCAACCAACGGAGCCACCCAGCCAGGACTCTTCATAATTCTTACAATTAATTGCTTCTTGGTACTCAAGATTTCTCACACATATATGTTATACTTTAACATCAGTGTTGACTGTGTATCAGATAACGAGTTATGTAAGGATGAAGTAAATAAAGCAAATCTTCTGTTTGTTGGTACCCCCTCACTACATGCTGTGCACAGTGGTTGCTAAGCAAATGTTTTGAACTAAGACTGACCACTTGAATATTTACTCAAAGGAAGTTATTTATTAGCAAGTATGAGTAACTGGGAGGAAGAATTTTTGAAGATGAGTATGTGCTGATCCTTGTATTTTTATCTAGGCTGAATTCTGAGACCAGGGTGGAGTCCCGCAGAAATTTCTCTGCCCTGGATGAAGGATTACTTATAATTGGAAAGTGTCTCAGGGGAATCCCAGATCCCTCGTTCTGAGAGGCCATCCGTATTCGGATGACATGAAAGTGATGCATCCTGGCAACAGCTTATGAATAACATCTGCCTGACATCGCTGAACTGCATTTCTACGCGGTAACCAATAAACCATCGTATCACCGTAGGCAGATTCTCACAGACATGAGGCCCGTGTTCAGCCTAATTTCTCCCCTTCCGAGCAGTTCCCTGTGGGTATCTTCCTCTGATCTAAACAAAGCCGGTGAACTTTAGATTCGTTTATTGCAGCAATAAATTATTGCAATATAAAATTAAAATACTGAAAATAATTTAAACAAAGAAAAACTTAAGATTTTGAGTGAAACTTCCAAATCTCTTAGGGCGGAATTTTAATAAATAAAATTTCTAGAAAATAGGTGGGTGGATAAACTGAAGTCCTCTGCCATTATGCTATGTCAACGCTCTCAAAGACACCTTTTAAATATTTTATTTCAATATATAATGGTGACACATTCACGTTTGGGCCAACGAGCCCCAAGCTGAGTTTGTCCTGTCTCCTTGCAAGCCTGCATGTCTAAGCCCCAAGGATGACACTGCCACCCCAAGGATGACACGAGTGGCCTAGCAGATGCAGAGGGACGGTACAGACAATCCAGTCTCGGGGGGCGGGGCAGAGTGCACAGCCAAAAATAAGACAGTAAATGTAAAAGGTAACTTTTCTACTTGAAAAAAGACTAAAGTCCACCATACCTATAAGAATATCACCTAAAACAACAGGAATCAAAACAGTTGAAAGCAAAAGGAAGGAGAAAGTGAAAATAAGTGCAAAAAGGCAATAATAATAGATAGTGTTTATTTGGCAGGTATTATGTGTCAGGTCCAGAGTTAAATAGCTTGGTCAAGATAAGACAATTAAGAATGAACTGAGGTACTAACACCACACTAAGTGTAGTGGAGGCTAAAAGGTATTATGCTCATATTGTTACTAATCAGGATACTTCACACTGAGGATACAACCATCATAAACGTTTTGTCCTGCGTAACACAGCATCCAAACACGTAAAGCAAAACTACTGGAAGTATAAGAAGAAATCAAAAGAACCACAGTGAGCAGAGACTTGAATACTTTTTACCAGTCCTCAACAGGTTAAGTAGAAAAAAAAGAATATGGTATTTTTATATATGTCCTATAGATACTTTAATCAAAATATTTCCTATCTACATCTTATTAGATCTCCATGTTTAATCATATTGTTCAGATCCTCTATGTCTGTGATCAGCAAACATTTTCTGTAAGGGGCCGGATAATAAAGAGTTTAGGCTTTGCAGGCCATACATTTGTAGCTGAAGCAGCCACAGACAGTGCATCAACAAATGAGCATGGCCGTGTTTCAATAAAACTTTATTTACAAAAAGAGGCTGAGGGATGTGTTTGGCCATGGACCTACCTTACTGACCCCTGCTCTATATGATTGCTTCTATGGAAGTGATCTTGGAACATTTACCGGAAAACAGTATATTTTAGAGCACAAAAAAAAAATCTGACATCCTAAAATAAGAAATGTACAGACTATACATTCTGATCACAAAGCAATAAAAATAGGAATAAAAGTAGAAACAAACACACCAAACTGCTCAGAAAATCTGAGGCCCTTCAGGCGAAAACGCTATTCAATTCATTGCTGTTAAGGGCCCTGCTACATTAGCAAGTGGTGTCCTGGCCATTTCCTCAGCTCAGTCTGTGGACTGTTAAATAGCAGTGCACCTGAGGACTAAGTCACAGGATGAGAAAAATCAAATCACACAAATTCTTCTCCACATCCTGTTACCTTCAATTCCCACTGGAGTGAGACACAAAAGCTGGTGGACTATGCTGAGACAGCCAGGATACAAGAGGAGCTAGACTCTCAGCCTGGGAAGGACCCGGGGGGCCTGCGCAAGACCCCTTAGGAGGAACTCAAGGCGCAGGCTGTTGCTGGAGTCAGGAGGAGAAATCAGCCTTTCTGACTCAAGGTGAGAGCACTTTCCAGGAATGTTCTGCCCGTTCTCAGTTCTGCTCATTCCCTTTTGCCCTTGGAGCAAGCACCTTTCCACACCCTGGAGGAGCCTCTCAGTCTCCCAAGTAACACCTCTCTCTCTCTGGACCGTCCCTCCCCTTCATTCCTTCCCTCTGCAAGGGCGGCCAGCTCACAGCACTGGAGACCAGAGGGCTCTGACTCCATCCTCCGGGGGCCCCAGGCCATTGCATCTGAAGTGGTTCGAGTATTCCCCTTCAGGAATAAGCCCACAGCAGTAGGTGATCCAGCTGAGCCCTTCAACAGGTGTGGCATTTACACTGATTTTCTCCCCAAGACAGGAGAAAATCAGCCTGGAAAGAAGTCAGGAACGAAAAGTCCTTCAAATTCCTTGAATCTGCGCAAAGCAGACTTCCCCTGTGGGCTAGCTCTTCCCTCCCCGCCCGAACCTTGCAGGGGCCTTCAGACCGCTTAGGGGCCATTCCCGGGGCCGATTTAGACGTTGCAGAAGGCGGGCTGTTGCTGCCCGTCTGCTGGGGTTCCTGAGCTACTCAAGGGAGAGCAGAGACCGCTGTGGAGCAGGCGGCGCTACACTCACAAGAGAAGGGGTGACTTAGGAATCTACTTCCCAAAATTCAGAAGGCCATGCTTGTTGCACAAGGCAAAATGGAAAACTTTTCAGTAACTGGGTAGTGTAGCAACGATCACCATCTTTCTCCTCCTGGCCCCCTCTACTTTTCACCCCTCTCCGCGCCCATCCCTTCGTCCTCTGAAATGTTTCTTTCTTTACCCTTCCCTCGGGTCCCAGAACTGCTCGCCTGCCTGGCCAGGATTCCACCTACTAACTGTGTGTGTGTGCAGCGTGTCTGAAACTACCTGACGTTCCTTTTGCTCCCTGCCTCTATCGGAGCCCGGGAAGCGCAAAAAGGGGGAAAAAAAAAACAAAAAACCTGAGTTGAGTTAAACTAGAGGAATTTTTTTTTCCTTGGGACTCTTTTTGCTCACAGCCAGCTGTAGTCCACATCGCCAGGCTCCCTCTGGTCTCCCACCCCTCGCGACCCCGCTCACCCCTCCAGGACTTACATCCGGAGGCGGGGCGCGCTCGGGCCGCCGGGCAGCGCACTTACCCTGTGCCTGGGCTTCAGGCGCTTGAACCAGCGCTGCTTCCCGCGCCTTCGACGCCGCGCCCGGCCCCTGGATGCTGGGGACCCCGCGAAAGTGATGGATCCCGCCCTCTGGGCGCCGAGCAGTTATAAAGGCGGCTATCGCCGGAGGGAGGGAGGGAGCGAGCGAGGAGGTGAGCAGCGGGACAAGGGGCGGGAGAGGGTCAGGGGAGCGGACACGCCTATTCCAGTTCCCCGGCACTGCGCGCTGTTATGAAAATAAAGTCCTCGCGCCAGGGAACGAACCGAGAGCCGCCTGACGTCAGCAGCACAGTCACCCTGGAAATTGGGGGGGGGGGGGCCCTCGGCCCCTCCCTGCTTAGCAGACTGCTCGGAGACCAGCGCACCGCCGGGTCCCTCGGCTCCGGATAAAAGAAAGGGGCCAGCGAGGACTGCGCCTTATCAGACCTGAAAGCTGTCACCTGCGAGCCGGAGCCACGCCCCGCTTTCCGCCTGGCACTCCTGTCCCCCAAGGGCAAGGGCTCGCCAGGTGGCAGCGCCTAGTTTAATTTCGGGGTGGGGGGCCGGGCTACAGATTTATTTACCGAGTTTATTGGAGTAAAGAGCACGGAGAGCTGGCCCCCAAGTGGCCCTTTCCTGCCCCTCGGCGACTCCCACCCCCCAGAGCAGGACAGGAAACCAGGGCGGGAAAGGAGGAGGTGGCCCCAGCGGGGGCGAGGCCTAGGAAAACTTCCTCCGGGGTCCAGACTTAGCTGGCGGCTCCACCCGTTAGTGCCGCCCTCAGATGGGACCCATCAGTGCTGCCCCGGGGCGGGCGGAGAGATCCTTGTCTCTCTACTCTCCTGACTACCTCTCTTAAAGCCTCACCCTGCAGGTTGGGAAAGGGGATGAAGGATAAAATATGAAATAAAGCAATGTTGCCTTTGGTATCTGGCTGCCCACTTCTCTTCCATTATCAAGCCAATCCTACTGAAACTTGTCTCTGTTTACTTGTCAAACAATCCTTAAGTGGCTGCCCACACAGAGTCAGGGCTCGGGCACCGCTCGACCCCACCGCCTTGGGGGAGGGGCGCTGTGCTAGGAGTGCCCGTCAGCACACCTGGGGGACTCGCCTGTGTTACCGAGCATATGAATTAGCCCCGAAGGTCCAGGGCTCCCCGGCTTTCTCATCACGTATTTCGAAATGTGACTTTTTGGGCAGGATACCTCCACTTTTGTTGGAGTTTTATTTCACTGCCAAGAAACTACAGCCAATGTTCTGAGTCTTGGAATCTTTCCCTTGAGAGCCAGCAGCCCAGGGTCTGTAAGCCCACAGCTTCTTTTGTTGGGCACCTGAGAGAGAGAGAGAGAGAGAGAGAGAGAGAGAGAGAGAGAGAGAGAGAGGGAGAGAAATTGCTGGGGACTGCCAAAGACAGTGCTTTTTAGTGTGTGCCATCTGCCACAGCAGACCTTCTCTCTGGACCTCAGTTTCCTCCTCTGTTAAAGAGGGAAGTTGAGCCCTGGCTGGGGTGGGGCAGTGGATTGAGCGCTGGCCTGTAAACCAAAAGGTCTCAGGTTCAATTACCAGTCAGGGCGCATGCCTGGGTTGCCGGCCAGGTTCCCCAGTTGGGCACATGGGAGAGGCAAGCAACTAATGTATCCCTCGCACACTGATGTTTCCTTCTCTTTCTCCCTCCCTCTTTCTCTTTTCCTCGAGGTAAATAAATAAAATCTTTAAAAAAGAAAAAAGGAAGTTGAACTAGACCAGACTTGTCCAAAGATAGGTCACTAAACACACAAATGCAAGCCATAATTATAATGTTAAATTTCCCTGCGGCCACATTAAAAGAAGTAAAAAGAAACAGGGGAATTAATTTTAATTATATATTTTATTTAACCCAATAGATCCTAAACATGATTATTTCAGCATATAATCAATCTTTTAAAAAATATTAATGAGCTATTTTAAATTCTCTCATTTCACATTGTCCTCGGAAGTCCAGTGTGTATTTTATACATAAAACCATTGCTAGTGTGGACTAGCTAGCCACACTGCAAATGCTCAGAAGCCCCCTGTGGCTACTGGCCCCCGCGGGACAGCGCAGGACTGGCGGTCTCTAAGGGCTCTTCCCGCTCCACGCTTCGGGAGTCTGAATCACCTTGCCTACGGAGAGGTTCACGGCATCTAGAAACAGATGAGAAGGGAGTAAAAGCAGAGGGAACGAGGCTTCAGGGGATTCTTTCCCTGTCCCCCAAAACCCTCCGCAAGACAAGAAACTCAGGAAACCTCTTGAGAAAGCCTGTGTTTCTTTTTCCTGCTGCTCCTTGTTCTCTGGGGGACGTCTCTCTGGCCTGTCCAGGGGAAGGTACATGAGAGCTTCGTGGGGACTTATTTTGCAGTGCTGCCCTCTGTCACCTGCACCCATTATTCTTCACTTCACCATTGACTTTGGATTTCCCACTTTGTCTTCTCAGCACTGTCTCTCCTGCCCTCCTCTTAACTTCTTTTGCTCCCCCCATCCTGCTATCAGTACACCAGCCCAGCATGAAGCCAGGACTGTGGCGAGGTACCTGGAGCACATCGTTGAAGGAGACACTGATCCCTGAGATTGAGCACCTGCTTACACTGGGAGGCCTGGGCACCTTGCCCACCTTTGCTAGCCCAGCCCTGATCCGGAGCCACATGGGGTCTGGCTATCTGGGAGGCCAGGAGGAGACTGGCAGGATGGGATACCCCAGTAATTTTGAGATGTCCCTGAGGGGGACAGGGAGGGGGACAGAGATGGAATAGTTCATTTTCTGGGTCTCCCATTGCTAAAACTGTCTAGAAAACAAGGTCGAGGGCCCTTGGAAATCAGCGGAAGAAACAGTATAAAAGGAGTCTAAACCCAGGTATGACTCCGGCTCTGGTTATCCTCCTTTGAGTGTTACCTGGCTTCAAGTGACAGGCAGCATTGTTGAGGGACACAGAAGATAAGCTCACGTGATTGGAAAGGAGGAGATGAGAAGAGAGAGAGCCTCGCAATAAGGGTGCTTTTTCCTCCTAAAAGGGAGGCCGGGTTGATGCTGCGGAAGCCTTCATTCAGCAGTAAGGCCAGCAAGGGGGTCATCTTCCAGCACCAGGGGTCTGGGTCAGCCTCCGTCTGGGAGTCCCAGAACCGGTCCCTGCACACACCTCTCTCACAGACCCCACCAACCAACACCAAAATGGCCCTCACTTTTTAAAACATTTTTATCGATTGATTAGACAGAGAGAGAGGAAGGGAGAGAGAAACACTGATTTGTTGTTCCACTTATTTTTGCAGTCATGGGTTGATTCTTGTATGTGCCCTGACCTTGGTGGATCTGGACGACTCTCCAAACAACTGAGCCCCCCAGCCACACTGGCCCCCACTCTTGATTGCGGGAACGTGGGCAGCTCTGCCAGTGTCCTGTTCTGGCCCCTTTACCAACTTTACCTTGGAATTCAGGGCTGTAGAACCTCAGGCCAGCACCCCCCCCCTCCAACTTTCCCTCCCTTCACTTCGCTAGCAAGACTTCTGACCCCCTCCCTAAACTCAATTAAATCCCATTTAAGAAACACCTGAGACTAGGAGAAAAGTACAAGGGAGTTTTATTTCCTCAGGCAATTTCACTAAGGGAACTGCTAAGTGTCAGCTCACAAGTGCACCAGGTTCCTGCTAACTGTGGCTTCTCCATTCAATTGCTAAACCGTACAGAGAGCATTGGGAGCCAGCTGTGCAGCAAGCATTGTGGTACATGCACTACAAGGAGGAGAAAGATACCACGCAGTCTCAGTCCCCTGAAGGGAATCTCCATGTTTATTTAGAAGCTGTGGATAATCTTCTGTATAACTGTGCGGGGATGCAAAAGAAAACTGCCTTTAAGGAGCTCAGCCTGGTGGAGAGAGGGACCGTAATGAAACGGAACCAATGTGTCACGTTAGATGTCATGCCAGAGGAACACAAGGACCACAGCCGGGCACGAAAGGCCGCAGTCAACACCCCCCGCAGCATTCAGGGTCGCCCTCGCCGAGGACAAGAGCCTGGAAGGTGAGGAAGAGGTGGGCAAGGGGAGGGCATTCCAGGCGGAGAGGACAGAGTCTGCACAGTCACGGGGCTGTGGAACCCGCCTGCACGGCAGGGCACGCGAGCACCCCGTGTGGGCAGTGGGTGCATCGGGTGTGGGGCCCCAGACTCGTCCTGGAGGCAGAGGGTGTTGGAGTGTGAAGCCAGTGCGGGGCTCTCAGTCCGCGGCTGGTGTCCCTGTAAGAAGAGGACACAGACGCAGAGAGGAAGGCTGTGGGGAGACAGAGACTGCAGACATGCTGTCACCGACCAAGGGACACCTAAGGCGGAGCTGTGGGGCGGTCTCTCCTCCCCGACCCTGGAAGGAGTGAGTCCTGGCCTCCAGAACTGTGAAAGAATCGACTTCTGTTGTTTTAAGCCTCCCAGTTCGTGATTGATTGTTTTGTTTTTTAATTTTATTTGCTTGTTTGTTTGTTTACGGGGTGGGGAGGGAAGGGAGAAAGCAAGGAAGAGAAACGGCCATCAGTTGTCTCTCATGCCCACCCCAAGCGGGGACTGAACCCGCAACCTGGGCATGGGCCCTGACTGGGAATTGACCAGCACCCCTCACTTTGCGGGATGACACCCAACCAACTAGGCCACCCCGATCAAGGCCAGTTTGTGATATTTTGTTGGGGCAGCCTAGGAAACTGATACACCTCTAAAATGCAGGCAGTTTCGCCTATGCCAGAGGGTTTTGTGAAAGGCTAAAAAGAGTCTGCCCAGCAGAGCAGCAGTCTCAAGGGCTTGATCTTGAAGTGGCCTTGGTTTTGTCTTCCCGCCTCCACCCAGTCAAAGGGAGAGAGGTGGAGTGTGCACAGGGTAAACACGCGTGGCGGGAGGGAGATGACACTTGAAGCCCCGGAATGCAGTCTGTAGGGAACCAGAGCCTGCGGCCAGCATGCTGGCCAGCCACCAGCTCCGCCTGTCTTGTTATCAGGCTATGAAAAATGTCATGTTTACAGATCAGACTTCCCCACCTTTTCTGGGATTGACTTTAAGATTGTGCGCATACTCCGGGGCTTAATTCACAGGAAAGTTATGAGTCGATGTCTCCATGCTGAAACCAGAGAGGTGCTACCAGTAACCCCAAGGCTGGGTTAGAGTCCCATTAAGTGCCCAGACTGGTTCCGTGATGTGAAACCCAATGCAGCTGGAGCCCAGCAGATCTGCCCTGACCTCTCTCTCTTCCCCCCCTTCTTCCCCCCAACCCCTCCTCAATCTGGCTGTGCTCAGCCCAGCACAGGGAGTTAGTGGCCAGGACAATTTG